TTGAAAGATAAAAAAAAAAATAATTACATCAAAAAAAAAAAAGAAATGAAAGAAGTTTTCATTTACAAAAAAAAAAAAAAAAAAAAAAAAAATAAAGAAAAAAAATGATACACACGTAACGAATGACTATTTTCTCATATGAAATTTAATTGAAACGTAAATTACGACTAAAATTTTGATTAAAATTTATCTTTATGCTTTTTCTTTTTCTTTTTCTTTCTTTTTTTTTTCTTTTTTTTTTTTTCTTTTTGTATCTCTGTCTCTGTTTTAGGTATAAGTAAAACTTAATAGTAATGTCACGCTTTGTATGGAAACAAGGAGTGGGAGAGTTTTCGACGATAAAGTATAAAAACACAATACTTAGATCGACAGATTGTAGTCGTTTATTGTGTTTTCTTAGCTTATAACGTATTACCAGAAAGAAGTGTTAAAGAAAGTTTACATAAATATGGAGTATGTACGTAATAAAAGGGTTTCCATTTCCGAAATGATGAGAGTACCTCCAATCAAACCAAAAGGTATTGTATATTCGATATTGCAAATTAATATTTAGTTTTTTTTTTTTCATTATTATTTTATTATAAACAAAAATAAAATATCTAAATAATATATAAATAATTTTGAAGTATTTTACACATAATATATATATATATATATATTAATTATTATATAATTAATTAATTTATTATTATTGATATAATTAATTTAATATTATTAATATTATATTTTATTATTCAATTAATATTATTATATTATAAATAATAACAATAGTATACAAAATATTATATTACAAATATTACATTAATTTATAATTTATTTTTATAAATTTATTGTAAAAGGTGTTAGAATATTTTTTTTTTTATCGAAATTTTAAATCTTACATTTTGACAATTCTCTTATTTTTTTTTTTTTTTTTTTAAATAAATTCTTTTTCTTAATATTCTTCAATATTTTCTATATAATAATATAATATATATTATTAATATTAACTTAAAAAAAAAAAATAAACTATAGTAATGATGTTTACAAATTAATTATTTACAAGATGTTAGAATTGTTATTTTGTTAAATCTTGAAACAAATTTTCTTTCAAGTAATATTGAATGTTTTATTCTTTTTTTTTTTTTTTAATTTTTATCTTTTAAATTGCAAATTAAATTAATTGCATTTGTTGATGATTAATGTATTTGATTTTATTATCGATACTTTACGTCAAGGTGTTCTTATAATCTCAATCGCGTTTTACTTAAAAGTACAAATTGAGATTAAACTTAATGAGGGAAAATATAATCGTGCGATGAACGATATATAAAATGAAAATATGATAAGATTTTACTTTATCAATTGATTAGAACGATCCAACCGAAAGAAAAAGAAAGAAAGAGAAAGATGATCGATGTTTATTTCGCAAATCATCCACGTGTAATTAATTAAATATGTATTACACGTGTACATATATATATATATATATATATATATATATATATACACTATTCATTAAAAAAGAAAAAGAAAATAAAAATAACCCAGGTGTACTTATATTTAATTTATCAATGACAAGTGTGTACAATTTTAACATTTAAAATAATATAAAAAGTGTATTTGGGAAAAAAAAAGAACAAAAATTAGTATAATATTTGATATTAAAAAATTTGGATTTTATTTTAATCTTTGCTTATCACACTTGGTCCAAGGAACCCAGACCTTTTTTGTTACTTGAGTCATTTTTCTCAATTGTTCAACTTTGATAATTTTTTAAACATATTTAAATGTAATTTAAAGCTATAAAACCTATATAGTCTTTTTAAGTAAGTATTAAAGAAGTCTCAAAAAAAATATTGAAGTAAATCTATGCAATGGTTTCTTTTTTATAACGATTTTTCTCACTCGGGTCCAAAGGACCCGGGTATGGTAAGCGTGTTATTCCAGGAAAGTTGGTAAGCAAAGGTTAATATTATTTTATTCAAATATTAATATTAATATTAATCAAATTTATATTATATATATAATTATAATAATATACATATTATTATTAATATTAATATTAATATATGACAATATCAAAAATGAGACAAACGTATTTATGGATGAAGATAGTATAATAATTTGAACTGATATTGTCTGTGGTTATTCATTACTACGTAAATCATTACTACGTAAATCATTACTACGTAAAATTTAATGAAAGATGAAATGAATAATCTACGAGGAATGTATTTCTCGACACGATTTCATTTTTTTTTTTTTTTCAAAAAGATAAATACAACAATGTGCATGCATTGAAGATTAATCCAATCGTAATAAAAAGAAAAAGAAATGTTTTCAGTTAAATATATCAATTTTGTTTTTCATGGCACTTGCAAGTGACCACTGCAATTATTCCAAAATTGTTTCGATCATAATTTGTTCACTTGAATAAAAATAATAATAAACAATATGTACAAAAGAATAACTTAAATCACAAAATTATATTCAAAATTTATATAAATCAATATAACTAATAAAAAACAATGAGATTAAGGGAGGAGGAAGGATGTTGTATCCATTATTAAATACAAAAAAAAAAATAAATGTATCATAAAATATATTATTTTTAAAAACAATATATATATATATATATATATATATATATATATATATATATATATAAATTAATTATTATTTAATTATTGTACATGTACTTTTCATTTGATTTTTAAAATGAAATAATTTATTATTCATAAAATCGTCTGATATTGCTTGAACCTATTTCCAATAAAGCCCCATATACTAAGGGGGTCAATGTCTTGATATTTTTTTTTCAAATTGAAACGTAATATTTTGCACATGGGTCATTGTAAAATATAAAAGATAGTACACACTCGAGTTATCATTTTGACAAAAATTATATATGATTATTATTATCATATTTCATTGTTAATAAATCAATGTTTGCATTAGACGTTTTAATAAAATGTCTTCAAGAAATATCTCTCTCAGAAATTAGATTTTTTCAATATATAATAAGATAAAGATTCTATTACTTATCGTAACTAGATAATCAATTATTGATCAAACGAAGAATAACAAGTTCTATTATTCTTTCTCTTATTTCCTTCTTCTTCTTCTTTTTTTTTCTTTTTTTCTAAATCGATGTAACAGATTACTTACGTCACAATGCAATGGAAAAGATAAAAAAAAAAAAAAACATGTATATATGAGAGTAGCAATGTATGATAATTCCTTTGTATAAAATTTCCTTTTAAAAATATTTACAGCATAAAACTCATTTTTACAACAACAAGTATCAATCGATTACGTGTAGTCTGCATTCTTAACATTTTTCGATAGCACTATTCAATAAAATGAATTATCTCATTCGATCATAATCGGGTAATCTTGAAATCTAATATATATATATATATATATTATTTGCAAACTTATAAATATTTGATTATTCTTATTAGAAAAAATCTAGAGTGTTGTTTTATTTTCTTTTCAAATTATATAAAAATATAATGATTAATATTTTTAAAAAACATCATCATATACTAGATACTTGAGAATAATTTCCCCTAATTATATCATAAATCATTCTAGACGACACGTTTATTATTATTCGCTATTCTCTTTTTCTTTTTTTTGCAACGACATTCACTTTTACAAATCCATTTATAAAATAAATTACTTGCTATCTATGAGATCGAGATAACATTGTCTAACATCTCTTATTATTAGCTTAGGTATGCGAGTATTATGGAAAAAGAAGGAAAAAAAAAAAGTATATAATCCATCCACACAAGTTGTAGAAAAGATTAAAATCGTATTATGTATGACGTTTGAATATTTCTTTGATTACAGCCCTCATTGGATGTAGGCACGTACAGGTACTATGCCTGGCCTTCGGTTTCTTTTGCTGTTATGCTGTCAGGGTTACCATGTCCGTGACCTTGGAAGCTATGACCAATTCTACCAAAGCTAATCCAGAATTCGAGGTACGTAGTTTTCTTTCTATCTCTTTCTCTTATTTCAAGTTCAAATAATCCATGATTAGAATGAATTTTGTTCATAGGAATTCCATTGGGATCAGACTACCAAGAACACCATACTCAGTTCATTCTTTTGGGGATACATATGTACTCAAGTACTTGGTAACATCATAGCCCAATATTGGGGTGCCCAAAGAGTATTGTCTTGTTCTATTATTATAAATGGTTTATTGACACTTTCCGTTCATGCCGCTGCTCATTATGGAGGTTGGGAAGCTGTTTGTGGTACCAGAATTGTTGCTGGTTTTTTCCAAGGTACGGTCATGCCGACCATGCACATGCTCTTGTCTAAATGGTCACCAAGTGAAGAAAGAGGAAGATTAGGTCAGTTTTAATGCTGCGTTATTTATCTTTATTGTTATTGTCCTAATTGTTTTTCCTTTTTTTTTCTTTTTTTTTTTAATAATCGTTTAAGTTTAATAATTATCGTTTTAGCCGCATTTGTTTATACCGGTGGTTTGATCGGTAATGTTGTCTCTCTACTAAGTTCCGGATTCCTTTCCGCTTCTGTTCTTGGTTGGCCAAGTTGCTTTTACTTTTGGGGCACTGCAAGCTTGACAGCTGGTATTTTTATTTTTATTTTTGTCAAGGAATCACCCGCTGATCATCCAAATATTCCTTTCGATGAAAGACAATTCATCGAAGTTAGTTTAGGTGTTACCGAAACAGATGAGGTAACAATTGTTCACAAATAGATTTTTTCTTTTTTTCTAGAATCGATAAACATGATTATTTATCTATTTATAGAAATTACCTACTCCTTGGATCGCAATATTAACGTCTGTACCTGTTTGGGCTCTTCTTATTACACAAGCCGTTCAAAATTGGGGATTCTGGATGTTGTTAACTAAAATGCCTTCTTATATGAATTCAGCTCTAGGTTATGATATACAACAGGTAAGTTCAATAAAATTAGTTAAATTGAACAGTGTATGACCTTGATCATTTATTTAAACGCAATAGTACGGAAAGAATATTAATTGAAATCATTTACATTTCTTAACCGCTCGTAAATACGTAAATAATAAATACGTGAATGAAATTAATATGCGAAAGAGAATGCGTTTGCTTGAATCAATGCCAATATATACCAGTAATACCTTGCGAATGGTACGTTAATCGAATGTAACTATCCCCATTAATGAATTCTTTGACTCGCGGTTACTGTCGGTCAAGATCAATTATGATACAACTTAAGAATATCAATGACCGGTCATTTGTAAATATCATTCACCAAACCACAACGTTTTACCAAACGAATAAAACATTTGTTTTGTTTTTCTCAGAACGGCTTGATGACGGCATTGCCATACTTGACGGCATGGATTCTTAGTTCACCGATCAGTTATATTTCTGACATTTGTATCAGAAAAAATATTATCAGTTTAGAAGCATCAAGAAAAATATGTAATACAATAGGACAATGGATTCCAGCTGTTGCACTAATTGCTTTGGGTTACATCAACAAGGAACAATCTGAAATTGCAGAAGCAATTTTGATAGTTACCGTTGGAATTAACGTTGCCATATATTGTGGTCACAACATTAATCATATGGATCTCAGTCCTAATTTTGCAGGCGCATTAATGGCCTTTACTAATACTGCCGCTAACATTTGTGCTATTTTAGCTCCTATCATAAGTGGTATAATTGTACCAGATCCGGTTAGTAATTTTATCTTTTTTTTTATTATCATTATATTATTATATTTATTATCATTATATATTAATATTTGGTTTCATTATATTTACAGTCTAATATTCTTCAATGGAGAAGTATGTTCTTCCTCACAGCCGGTCTATACATAATAGGAAATCTTATTTTCATATTATTTGGTAAAGGTTCAGTACAAAAGTGGAATGATCCTGTAATCAAGAAAAAACAATCTACAGTATATCAAATAGAAGTAGTAATGGAAGCTAATGATTCTGAAATACAAAAAGCTAATAACGAAAAAATACCATGACAAAATATATATATATACGTATATTAAATTAATTAAATAGAATAAGAGAAGATAATTCTATTGTAAATTAATTCTAAATGTAAGAACGTATTTGTAAGTATATTTATATGACGTAATTTAATATTTATTAAAGTTTGATTCTTTTTTAAAAAAAAATGTATATATATATATATTTATATTCTTTTGTGAACAACTTACCGTTTAACAAAAGTACAAAATATAAATTAATTCTTTTTTAAGTGTTTTTTAATATTTGACGTCCATATCGTATTAATTAGAAGAACAGTTCCAAAACTCGTTATTATTAATGTAATATAAGTGACAAAAGATAAAAAAGATATATCTCCTATAGGTATTGTCCATTCATATTCAATCTCATCCTGTTAACATAAATGAATTCAATAGATTATTAATAAAAACTTTTTAAATTTCTTATTTTCAGATTAATCGATATATCTTACAGTATTGTATGGTAATTCTCTCCATTTTACCATCTTATCAGCGCACAATGGGCATAGATTTATTTTAGATACTCTGTACTCTTTGATTCTTTCTTTACAACCTAGAAGTAAACTAGGTTTTCTTAAAACTACGGTTTCATAATCACCGTTCTCTTTGGGATATTGGTATCGTTGATGAATAGGTAAAGACATTATACTTGAACCATCATCGATACGACTACAAATAGTAACATTTTGAGAATTTGCATTCTCCATAAATAATTCTGTATCCGTTTCTCCAACGGAGCATATTGTAGTCTGCAAGTATCAACATCGGTAAGATATAAGTTATTTATAAAAAATTGATAATAAATTATACAAAAAATGTAATTAATTACATTATCGGTTCTCTTTAGTTCTGCTAACTCATTAATGTTTACATAAAGAGCAGAAGGTAGTACAAAATGCAAGGATGCATAACAATCCTTCAAAATCAAATTGTCCACTTCAATGTGATATGTAAAATACCTGTAAAGAAGAATTTGATTAAGGATTAAGTTTGAAAGGCAAATGTATACATATTATATATAAGTAGGAGGATTGAAAAGTAATGTCGTTACTACGCATGTCAAATTTTTCTATTAATATTTTAATCAAAAAACCAATTGATGATTTTTATCGTTACCAGATAAAAAGAAGAGGTTGTTGATAACGTGATTATAATTAATTTAATTAAATAATTTAATTATTGATTAATAATAAAAACTTATCTATTTTTTGGTTATGTGTATTATATGATCTATCAATGTTAACAAGTTCCATATTAAATTAAAAGCACATTTACACAAAATACAGCTGGGTTAATTTGTGTAATGCTGAATCAAGTAAAAATTACCTTAGTGTATTATAACAGTGACTGAAAAATTGCATAATTGAAAAGGTATTTTATTTGTTGGTTATGTGTATTATATGACATATCAATGTCAACAAATTCCGAAAACATAAAAAACTTGTTTGAAAAATTTATTCGTTTGAATTTTGAGATTAAAAAGTGACATTACTTTCCGGTCCATTTAATATATATATATATATTTGTTTAGATTATAATTTCTAACCTATGAAAACCAGAACCATCAACGTGCATTCTAACATGTGCACTTATGTTTCCAGACACCGAAACATATTGAAACAATAACAAAATGTATATGGCAATTTTTAAATGATACCACATTATCGAAAAAATACCTTTCTATCATTTATGTTTATTTCTAAATGTCTTTAACAAGTTAAATGTCACACTAATTGTACAGAGATTGTTCGTGGCGCCACAATGTGGAATATATTTCTATTAACTTGGGCTTGTCGGTCACCAGTGACCCCCATGGCATTACTGCCAAATTGAGTGCCGGTCACCGGTAACCACCGTGGTATTAAACGTGTTAAATATTACATCATATCTGTGATAATAACACATGCAATGTGTGTGATGTTCATTATAAGTTTGAAAGATTGTACATGACATTAGAAAGAGAGAGATATAATTAGAAAATAAAATTGTTTAAAGAAGAACAGATAAAAATATTAGATTTCTATTGTTTATTCAATTATTAAATTTGATTATTAATTATAAATAATTAATAATAATTTATCATATAAACAAATTATTTACAAAAATTAATTATTAATATGATTGGGGTAGTGCAATATTATGGATGACATTAGAAAGAGAGAGAAAAACAATTTGAAACTTAAATTGTTCAAGGAAGAATAAATAAAATATTAAATTTTATTGTTTATTCAATTAAATTTGATTATTAATTACAAATAATTAATAATAATTTATCATATAAACAAATTATTTATAAGAAATAATTATTAATATGATTAGTAATGCAATATAATGGATGACAGTAGAAATAGAGAGATAACATTTGAAAATTAAATTATTCAAGGAAGAACAGATAAAAATATTAGATTTCTATTGTTTATTTAATTAAATTTGATTATTAATTGCAAGTGGTTAATAATAATTTATCATTATTTACAAGAATTAATTATTAATATGATTGGTAATGTAATATTATGGATGACATTAAAGAGAGAGAGAGAAAAAAGATTTGAAAATGAAACTATCCAAGGAAGAATAGATAAAATATTAAATTCTATTGTTTATTCAATTAAATTTAATTAATTAATATTAATTTATCATATATACAAATTATTTACAAGAATTAACAATCAAAATGATTTTTATACAACATTGTATAAAATTTGTAAAATAAAAGAAGCTAATAATAAACATAATGAGTAAGTATACATATACATATATTGTTAATAACTATAATAAAATATCCCCCCCCTGTGGGTTAGAGGGGGGGAATCTTAGAATATACCCACAGTATCCCCTGCTTGTCGTAAAAGCCGACTAAAAGGGGTGGGGAGGTTAGGGTTGAACGTTGGCTGACCTTGTAATAAATTCATTTGTTTTAATAAAATTTCAGGAAATAAAAAAGCCAACCAGCCGAATAGCTCGAGATAAAAATAAAGAAAAAAAAAGGGAAAGCTTAAAAGTAATAAAAATAAATTATAAAAAAAATATATTTCATTTATTTATGAATGATGCAACAACGTATGACGTCAGACTAATATTTTGCAAATGGTGGATATAACAGAATGAATAATATGGCGTTAATTACAGTACACGTTGAATTGTATGCATAATTTGTAACGTAGAGATTAAAAAATAGAATTAGATCGAATAAGAAACTGGGATAAATAAGAGACAGAGAGAGAGAGAGAGAGAGAACTAGAAAAAAAAAATAAGAATGAGAAAGAGAAAGAGAAAGATGAAGATAGAACGAACTGGTTAAAGTCTCGACGTAGAGCTTCTATATTGTCGCTAGGAAACGAAAATAGATGCTGTCAGGCCCCCAGAAGGTACAGAAAAGAGGTGTAGGCAAAGAAATAGCAAGACAAGACAAGACAAGTCAAGACAAGACAAGACAAGATAAGATAAGACAAGATAAGACAAGACAAGTTACAGGGTATATCCTGTAAACCTGAAGTACACAGATTTACAAGGAAGAATAAAATGACATGAAATAAGGGTGTAAAATCTTTTTGTAAATACCTTTAATACAAAGTTTAATGTTAATTATATATATATATATATATATATATATATATATATATATATATATATATATATGGACAGAGAATATTATCTTATGTAACATTTAAAATATTGTTTTTAAGTCGTTGATATTTAAATATATATGGGAATTTATATTTTCAATAATATTTTATATACTTTTTAAATTATAGTAGTAATACTAGTATAGTACTAGTATAGTATAATATAACTAATATAGTATACTAGTAACTAGTGTAGTAGTAGCTAATTAAGTATCATTTACAGTATTAATACTAATACTGTAGTAACTAATATAGTAAGTAATATAGTATACTATAACTAGTATAGTATAATTAAATTATAGTAGTAATACTAGTATAGTAATATATACTAGTAAATTATATACCTTTAACAAAGTTTAATATTAATTACATAGACAGAATATTATCTTATATAACATTTAAATATGTTTTTAAAATCATTGATATTTTAGATATGAATTTATATTTTTTATATACTTTTTTAAAAATTGTTATGCGTTTTTATTGATGATTTTATTGATACAATTGAGATTAGATAATTGAAACGTTGATGACGATATGTTCAGAAATAATCGTTGTTAAGGTTGACTTTTTTTTTTGGTTTAATAAGCATCATGTGTTACAGGTACCTGGAAAAGAAAGAAAGAAAGAAAGAAAAAATCTAAAGAGAAAGAAAGAGGGAAGAAAAGTTTTACATCCGCGATCCTCGACTTCTTTGTAGGATTTCTATTCGTGCCAAGTCTGCTTGCCCAGGCATTCTTTGGCTCGGTTAAGAATTCCCATTATTATTGCCGGTACAGAGAGAGAAAAAGAGAAATAAAAAGAGAAAAAGAAAAAAAGAAAGAGAGAAAGAGATAGAGAGATAGAGAGATCTTTGTAAAATGACTAACAATTTTCTATAGAATATTTATTTAATCGATATGCGATTTAATTTTATGATAAGATTAAATAAATCCAGAATTATATCCTTATCTTTTGCTTAAAGAATGATACAATTGTTATTTATTTTTATTTTTATTTTTTTTTAATCAATGCAATTATAAGATAATCTCATAAAAAAGAAATATTAATTATATTATTATTATTATTATTACAATCATTGCAAATGAATTTGTTTCATTGTTTTAAATCATACGATTTGATATTCATATTAACGAGATTGATTTATCATAGAAGGATTACAATTAAAGAAAAAAAAAATTAATTAAATAATCCACATTTGCATTTTAATCTAAAAAAGGAAGAAAGACAAAGATAAAGATAAAGATAAGATAATGAGAGAGAGAAGTATAGAAGAAAATTCAAAATAAAAATAAAAATAAAACAAACATTTGCAACATACTTTACTTTAATAATTATAATAATAATTATAAAAAAAAAAAAAAATAAAAGTAAATTGACAATAGTGTTGCATCAAATTCAATATTAAAATATATGAAACTAGATATAACAAATAATAAATAATAATAATAATAAAAAAAAAGTAAACTAGCAATAGTGTTGCATCACAAATTCAATATTAAAATATATGAAATTAAATATAATAAATAATAACAATATTAATAATAATAAAAAAAAAATACATTAAACTGGCAATAGTGTTGCATCAAATCAAATATTAAAATATATGAAATTAGATATAATAAATAATAGTAACAATAATAAAAAAAGAATAAAATAAACTGGCAATAGTGTTGCATCAAATCAAATATTAAAATATATGAAATTAGATATAATAACAATAATAATAATAATAATAATAATAATAATAATAATAATAATAATAATAAAAAGAATAAACTAAATTGGCAATAGTGTTGCATCAAATCCAATATTAAAATATATGAAATTAGAGTCGAGCAGAGTCACGAATTATTATGAATTATTTTTGAATATAGTGACAGAAAAAGAGAGAAACAGTGAAAGAGAGAGAGAGAGAGAGAGAGAGAGAGAGAGAGAGAGAGAATGAATATATGTTGTGTATATATATATATATTTATGTATAACGTGTGAGTGAGAAAGAGAAGGGATGGGAAAGGGTAGGAAGGAAATAGGGGAGAGACAATAAGGGACGTTCCCATATTACGGTATCTCGTTCGTAATAGTTGGAGAGCGCCAAATTCGAATCGAACGGGGATGACTCAAGCCTCAAGGCTCTGTTAAGTCCACCTCGTCGGCTTCGTTCGGCCGACGTTTGGCCCGGTTTATCTCCGGCTGATCCAGAAATAATCTTAGATTCGGTCTCCTCTCCTACTCTCTCTTACTCCCCGTGGATCATCTCCATCGTTCGTTCGAAAGACACCGAAGAAGAAGTTTTACTTCTTTTTTTCTTTTCTTCATTCGTCATCGTTTACCATCCCCCACTTCAATCAACCTTCTCTTTTTAACCCCCTCACTTTTCCTTTTCCATCATCTCTTTCTTTACTAACTAACTTTCAAACTAATATAATAACGGGGTACCCTAATAATCTCCTTTGATACTAACGTTTATTTGTTCGGGAACAAAACCTTTTTTTTTTTTTTCTTGACCTGTTAAATAACAGGTTTTTTTTTATCTTTTTGTAAATGATTTATCTTTTTTTTTCTGTTTGTTTTTGTTTCATTTCGTTCAAACGTAGTTCAAATCTGTAGTTCTTAACATTAGATTTATGGACTGTAATCAATTTGACTCATAAAAAATTGGATTACTGTATATATTATATTTTTTGAAAAACACACACACATATGTTGGTTTTTAATTACGTAAATGTTAATTCATTTTGTTTACTCAATTATTTATTGAAACAATGTTTGTAAGTCATTAAAAAATAATGAACAAAACGTTTGTAAATCTAATGTTAACATCTTTTCTTGTATTTTTTTTTTTTTTCTTATTGTATTAGTTATTTTGTTTTCTATGCATGATTTCTATATCGGTTTTATTTTTATATCATATCTTTTGAATATTTTCCCTTGAAATGTTCAAATATGATTGACAGACACACGTATCAACGTCAAGTTCAATTTCACACAATGGTTTATTCCACTTTATAAATTTAATCTTTTTAAAGTTAAATAGATGAATTTCACTTGCATAAAGAATGAATTTGATCTCGTTTTTCAAATGAAATTATATCAGGTTGCAGATCAAATTCATTCCAATGAGTTTTTGCAATTTAATTTGCAACAAGTGTTGAATATCGTTTGGAAAAATAAAAGATAAACAAGAGAAGTTTTCTTTAAAACGATTTAAAGAAAAAAAAAATGAAAAATTTGAAAAATTTTAAATGTAGTTTAATAATTTTTTTAATCAAATATAGTACTCTTCATATATCCCTATATATATAATATGATTTGTATTTGTGTTATATTGTAATTATTACAGTCAAAAATATATTTAATTTCTTC